ACTACTACTGCTACTACTACTGCTACTACTGCTGCTACTACTACTACTACTACTACTAATACTACTACTACTACTACTACTACTACTACTACTACTACTACTACTACTACTACTAATACTACTACTAATACTACTACTACTACTACCACTACTACTGCTACTTCTGCTACTTCAGCTACTACTGCTACTGCCACTGCTACTGCTACTGCTCCTGCTCCTGCTACTGCTACGACGACGACTGCTACTACGGCGACAATTGCTACTGCTACTGCTCCTGCTTTTCCGCCTAGCCTCAGCATTGTGATGGCGATTGGTTCATGCCATTACCATTGTGCGAGGACACGGGCCGTTTGCGTAATCTCAAGGCTGTCCACTGTCCCGCGAGGCTTCAGGATTCTTGAAGACTGGCGCGAGGGCTTCGTGGTGAACGAAGCCGAAGCCACCATGATGTACAATTATTTGTACAGCGGCTCGCTTGCAGGGGTTCACAGCGACACAGCGACAGGGGTGGAAGTCATATTGCTGTCTGTCGGTCGTTCACTACTGATATCATCTTGCAGACAACGCCAATATTCACGGCTACTTTTGGATATTCTGCCAGCCGCAGAGACAGTGTTAGTTTTTGTTTGACGAGTCTCTCGTCTGGTTGCCCTCCTGTCGCTTCCAAGCTTTTTTTTTCACCCCTGTGTTTTGCTTCGCACATTGACGCCTGCTACCTCCTTCGTAGGTGGCCCTGTCGCTGCAGCCTTGGTCTCAGAATTTGTTGATGCTTCCATCTTCTATCTGTTCTACCTCCCGATTCCTTCCGGTTGCGCGCCGGTCGTTTTTGCAGTGCTTCAGCTGCATGCTGATCTTTGTGATTCTTGTCTGCTAATTCGTGTGCTTGTGATTTGCGCGCAGTCGTGGTCTGAAGATTCAGGGCAGTCACCAGTCGTCAAAACCAAAATGAAGTCGAACTCCGAGCCCGAAAGCCTACTACATACGAAAGTCTTCGAGAACTTGTCTGATGCTCTGCACCAGAAAGCTTCAAGATCCCAGTGCGACTGAACTCCTTTGAAGCCCGCGCCTTCAAACCTTCACCAGGAACCTACGACAACACCAGACTGAAGCTAGAAACAGTCTGCCCGCGCCCCTAAACCTACATCGCAAGAGCCTGCGTCTGAAGTGGACAAGTCCAAAGCCTACGGCATGATGTAAGAACCTCTGAGCCCGACAAGGAATGTGCTTGCGTAGTGGCACCGACAAGAGGATTCAGATGTAGGCCCTAACCAGAAATTCCATGTTTCACATGGAAGCAGTCTGTAATAGATATCTTCTACTGATTCTGCATATCGACAGCAGGCAGTGCACATTCAAACCAAGCAGCCCCTATTCCTAAACCCTGAACCCGGCTTTGGAGCAAGGGTTTTCTTGCCGTTTCCACCCGAAACAACAAGCTTCAGAATTGATCGCACGCAGAAGTTAATGCAGTTCCAGAAGCCGAATCGACAAAGCATGCTGCTTGTCAAGACTCAAGACCGAGGTTCAGTTTCTGCATAAGGATAGGTTCTTGACTGCTCTTCTTTGGACGTGAAACCAGGCCAGCGCAAGAAGCGGGTCGCCGTGTACCACGGGAGACCCCAGGAGGCTAGAAGATGCCCCCTGGCCGCTTTGGGACACCGGGACACCTACCATGCTAGCTCCTCATGGAACCCAGCATAGAGCCCTAGGATCCTTCATAAGGAATGCTTATAACTTACAACAACTGTGAAAGCTCGGCTCCAGGTGCGGATTCATCGCTGTGGGTTTCCTGGGCGGACTTCATCTGGGGGATTATGACACTCGTGTTGGTCGCGGTCGATGCCGTGTTCCTTCCCCTCTCGCTCTCCTGGCCCAGCCTCATCCAAAGTGGCACTACCCTGGACCTCTACTATCAGGCCTGTCTATGGCTTGTGTCGGAGCACTGCAATGAACCCAGTAGCCGCACCTGTGAGGTCACTCCTGGACTCTGGATCTCTGACATCGTCGTCGCTTTCCTCATTGCGCTGCATCCTGCAGCCCAGACCGTTCGGTGGCAGGGACTCCGGTCCTATTTATGCAGCGTCCCCAGAGAACTTTCCCTTGCCCTGCAGAGGCCAGTCATGCCCAGTCCGAATGGCCAAGGCCGGCGCTTTCCTTTCGACGTTACTTTGGCCCGAGCCTGAGGATTTTCCAGCGGTCGCAGCGCCGGGATGTTGGGATGGCGAGGTTCTGGTGGACCTCACACTGCTGGCGCAGCTGATCCCAGAGGACTTCAAGGTGGGGTCCCCCCCCCCCCCCCCCACACACGAGGATCAATGAAGGCTTTCCTCCAATCCCCAAACAAGCTCGAGCTCTCAAATCTCGGCATTGTCTGTGAGCGTCCACATCAGGTCCTCACGCTCCTGCGCCTCCTCCGGGCTGCGAAGTTCAAGGCAGTGCGGAGCTTGGCCACACTGGGTACTGCCAGTGCAGAGTACGGTCGTGCGAGTACTAGTGCAAAAAGACCTCGAAGCAGTAAGGTCATGGGAGCGTTCGAGAACCGCCTGGCAAAACGGGGCAACATCACCTTCGTGTACTGGTCCACCATCATCCAGTCTATTGCATCCGTGCTGGTCGTCAACCATACGCTGGCTTGTGCGATCTTTTACATAGGCGCGGAACCCCAAACCCTAAACCACCCGAAGCCGAAACCCCATGTTCAGTTCTCGGTTAACTGACTTTGAACTTAGGGAGACTGGGTCAGCAGTCGGAGATGCCGAACTGGTTGGACACCTATGGCATCCTGGACTACTCCGATCCTTTTCAGTACATGCCCCTGGGCGGCAGCGGCAGTTTAAGCCTGCGCCATCGATGGGCACATGCAGCACACCCTACACCCCTAAACCCAAGTCGCGTAGCGCCTTTTCTGGCTTGCTCGGCTCCTCTTCGTGCCCGCCTGCCAGGATGTCCTTCAACTGGGTGATTGCGCAGTACACCCCTGCACCGTTCCCCTACAGGGCGCAGACGGAGATCGAGGAGGTCCTGATCCTGGAGCCTGATCTGAAAGCTATGCTCCGACGGCCCCCTCCTACACCTCTTGCATCCCTTTGTAGCCCAGGGAATGATCCTCATCTGCCTCCCCTTGCTGGGAGCCCAGATCGGAAAGATCACGGGCGGCTCGGCAGCAACGCCCCCAACTCGAGAAGCTGGCGAAGTAGAAGTTTTGCATCCGGGCCCTGACCCAGGCACCTTGAACCTGATGAACGAGAAGGCCAAGGTGGGGCCTCGCTTTTTGCAAGCTGGTTTGGGGCTTTGAGGGCTTAGGGGTGTTATGGGTCTTGGGTTCAACATTTTTCGGAGAGCGGTGGCTGTTGACGCAAGGAGCGTGACCATGTGAAGCGCGACTTGCAGCGTTGGCTGCACAAGACCAAAGTGCCTGGGCTGGCCATGGCATGGCACAAGAAGAGAGGTATCCAGGGTCCATCCTTTCCCTGCGCCGAGGTGCCTGAAGAACTCAAGGAGCCACCCGGCCGCACTGTCGCTCTGAGAGCTTTTCGGCGATACAGAGCTTGAGAGTCGAGGCGCATGTCCAGCTCCCTAGACGACGTGCTGAACTCCGCCCAGTCTCCGCTGGAGGTGAAGGATCCGATGGCCCTGAAATTCCTTCCAAGCACTTTGCTGGAAGAGCTCCGGGTCGTGAAGACCGGCGAAACGCTCTCGCTTCACCCTCTCTTCCAGATGATCATGGATGCCACTTCGGCATGCAATCCCTTTCCTCTGGAATTGCATTCTTTATTGTTCTAGGTCGATAACTGTCACGTTCCTCAGGATCGGCTGCAGCTTGCCGGGTCCCTCGTGTCGGCATTCAGAGTCCTGGCCACTGTGGCTGGTGAGCGGGTCTTCACCGTCGGCAGCCGGGCAGAAGGCCTGGAACCTTCCCCCAGCATCATTCACTGTCTCTCCGAGTCTCTCCTCGCGAACAAAGCCTCGTCTGATCCCTTCAAGTGTAGGCAAGAGAAGGCAGTAGGCGCTCTTGGTGTGCTAGTCTTGGTTCTGCCCCGACGAAGGCCTCCATGTGACGATCTCGGGAAGGTTCTCGGTGTTGTGTCAGGAGGCGGGGGTGGCGGATCTGCGAGGGAAGTCTTCGAAAGAGCCTTTCCTGGTAGCTTGAGCAGAGCGGCTCCAGAAGCTGACGGCTCCTCGCTCCTGCTCTCCAGGGCATTCAGAACAGTCGGCCAAGCAGCAAGAGTCTTTCGGACCTTGAAGACTCCTGCAGGAGGCGTGCATTGTGGAGGCCGAAAGGGGGGTTCCATCCAAGTCCCTGTCCCCGGAGTCTCACAGCCTCGATCTGGCACCGGACACCTGGGTGGGAGAGCTTCGGCAAATGGAATAAAAAGGTTTGCATGTTCTTTTTTGCACCACATCGCTGGCCGCAAAAGCTAGTATCTAAGGAACTTTGCCTCTACACAGAGGTGTCGCTTGCCTGCGGTGCAGCTGACCTTTTGGGAGCAGGAAGGATGACTCTGTGTTGACTAAGAAACCACTCGGCCACCTTGACGTCGCTGGCCTATGCCAAGTGCCTTCGAGTGTCTCCCATGGATTTCCTCAAGGTGGGCATCGGGCTGTGCCGTGCTTTGAAGAACCTACTGCCGCCGTGCTTCGTGTGCCATGTGTGTCTCTCATCTTTAGGCTGTGAGGGAATCGCCGGCGGCCATCGTCGCCATCCACGAGTCCCGTGGTGAAATGGGGAGGTGCAGCGTTCTAGCCGTTTCAATCGCGCCAAAATCTTTATCTGAGGTATGCCGTGGAGTTGCTCAAACTGCGGCTTTGGCAGCAGTGCCCGAAGCATTCGGTTGTGGGAGTCAGACTGCAGTTCCAAGGGCCGGGAAGCCGTGGGAACTGCTGCCGCACTCTCAAGTGGATGACTGTGTCAACCACACACAACTCGGCGCCTCTTGGCCAACAGCGGACCCGGTAGCAAGGGATTCTCACACTGCTCCGCAGAGCCCAGGAGCTGCTGAACCCTGGAACTGGCCGCATCCACAATCTGAAGAACAGCGAGGCCCATATTTTGAGAGATGTGAGAGGCTGGCAGAGCACTCAGACACCCGGGGTTCTTTCCTGGAAGCCTGCAGACAGAAAGGGAGGGAGGAGCCGGCTTGCAGCACTCCCTACAAGTCTTGCAGAGATGGACGAACGAGGATGCTGCAAGCGCCCCGCTGCTCAGGGGGGATCATGCACTCAAGCAACATTCCTGAGAGAGGGGAGAGGAGACGGTGTGCCAGAGTGTGCAGCCCAGAAACGAGAAGCTTGCAGGCTTTACAACATGCAGGGAATCTGTATTCGGTCTTCTCCTACGTAAGAAACAGACACCAGGACTGCACACGATGCTTTTGCCTTGTGTGAGGCTGTGGACCTCACGGACCTTGCATCCCGTCTCCTCTTGCGGCCATGGGCACCCGAGGCCGAAGCTCGAGCAGATCACGGCTTCTGCTTCAGCTTGAACCCCTAGACTCTCGTAATGTTTGCGCAGGGTGTGAGGCTTTTAAGGCTCCCTCCCCGAAACGCCTCCCTGCTCGGAAGGACCTCTGCGAGGAGATCAAGGACAAGGCCCTTGGAGAGCCTTGCACTTTCTTCAAGGATAAGCATACCGCGTTTAACCACCAATCCCTGCAGGCCTAAAGATCTTTCCACTGCTTAGCCTGAACAGGTCAAGGGCAAGCTGGCGCTGCAAAATCTAGTCAAGTAGTTTCGGGCCACTGCCTTGAAGCGGGTCTGCAATGTCAATCTTGACTCCTTTGCTCTACTGGGAGCTGGCTATCTACATTCCTCGTCTCCATTTGTGGGTCCTTGTAGCAACGGCCGACAGGGAACACTCGCTTCCATGCGCTCGAAAACTCGCACTCAACCCTAAACTCTAAACCGCACTCTCCATATGCCTAGCAGGTCGTTGAGCTCAGGGACAACGGCCTTTATGCACATCTCCAGCACCATGCGCCTGGGATGCACTGCACCAAGATCCATTCGTAAAGTCCTATGTCCTACATTCTCAGAAGGAGTATATGTACATAAACATGTATATATATATATATATAGTATACTACGTGTGATATAATTTAGGATATAAAATCATACAGTATGACAGCTTACATCAGAGCATATTCGTTCCAACATAACATAAGATATCACAATGTATGTATGTATGTATGTATGTATGTATGTACGTACGTACGTATGTATATATGTATACATACATGCATGCATGCATGCATGCATGCATGCATGCATGCATGCATGCATACATACATACATACATATATATATATATACATACATACGACTATACGTACGAATATCAAACTTGCGCATGTCTACACCACGAGGTCAACAATTCGATGCATGATCCAGCTGTTTTACAATACATAGTTTCAGAGATAAACAAATACATCAGCACTTCTACTTTGAACGGGGGAGTGTAGATCCACACCTACATAGACGATGCATGAGTACATGTAGCATAATGTGTTCATGATTGTATACATGCGAGCCACTATATATACATACATACATACATACATATATGTGTTTGCGTGTGTCTGTCTGCCTCCTGTCTGTTTGTCTGTCTGTCTGTCTGTATGTATGTATGTATGTATTTATGTATGTAGGTATGCATGTATGTACGTATGTATGCATGTATTTATGGACATGTATGTATGTGCATGTACTCATGCATGCATGTATGCGTACATACATGCATACATACCGGCATGCTTACACTCTTGAATACATACCTGCAGGCCTGCGTGCATACATACTTACATACATACGTACCTGCATACATGCATACATTCATACATTTATACATTCATACATCCATGCGTTCATACATGCATACATACATCTACATACATAACCATGCACATTGACACATAAATGTCTACGTCCATTAATGCGTACATTCGGTTAGTGAATTAGAATATTATCAGTCATAGGCAAGTGACAACAAGGAAATCCCATTCTTGTGTTTCATCACTAGCTGCCACTAGCTCAGGACGAGGCGAAGCGCGCAGTCCTCTCCGTGCTCAGCATGCTTTGGTTGCTGAAGGCTTCCAACGGTATGGGGTTTAGGGTTTAGGGTTTACCAAGCGGGACATGAGCTTCGCATCATTTGTGTTCTGGCGATGCTCCAGGGGGACTACGAGCAAATGGTCTCTTGCCAGAAGCTGCCTACGCGCCTGAGCAGAAGCACATGGACGGCTATTCAGGACGGGTGATGAGAAGCAATTGTGCATGCAGCTACGGCAGCCGGCCCGCACGACAGGAACTGCTGTGCTGGGAGATGACACCCTCACAGCTCACGGCCCTCTTAGTGCTCTTGGCCATTCGTGGATTGAGCAAAAGCGCTGACTTCACAAAGCTTTGCCCGCCCAGCGAGCGCCGCAGCCCCGAGTCCGTCCGCAGCTTAGCCTCCAGGGTCACTGCTTTCATCCCAATCAGCTTGCCTCAGCTGGATGTGATGGAATCGCCCCCTCGAGGGTTGTTTTCTCAGTTTGAAAAGGTATGGCCAATGCTGTGCTTGTCGTATCTGAGGTTTTGGAGTATGCTGTTCGTGGCTCAGAGGGATGAAAGGGATGGCCAGGGGATCGTTGGACTGTCCTACGTAAGGTCAGCAACTTGAAATCCTACATCCCCTCACTTGCGGGGCTGCCTGCGGAAAGTGCTGACTATGTGGTTTCGACAGCTCCTTGTCTCCAGCTCGCTGGTCCCGTCAATGCTGGGTTGGACCAGACGAAAGCTTTTTCGCCAAGGTCCGGATGCTGGGGCAATTCAGCTTTCCACAGTTCCTGCAGGGCGAGAACAACTCCCATTCCGTTTGGATGCTCCAGTCCTGCTTGAAACAAGAGGAAGAGGTTGTCTTCAAGAGCTTTGTCGCTAATGAAGCACGCAGAGCGGAAATAACTTCGTGCCATGGGGCATGGGGTCCGTGTGAGCGGGTGCTGCTCCACTAAGGATGTTCTTGCTCGCGCAGGTCTGTGTGCTCTGTGGAGCCACTAGGCCGCATGCGTTTTGGGATTTGTGGTGGTTGAGACATGTCCCGTGCCAATCACGGCACTGATGAATGAGATCTTGCAGCCACCTGAGGTCACCGGGGCGAAATCCATCCAGGGCTCTCATTTCCTCAATGAGTTGAACGGATGCTCCGTACTTAAAGCCCTCAGCTGCTTGCAAAACATTGCAGTGCCTGTGGCAGCATTGGGAGGTCCTCTACGAACTCTTCTCTGAGTCAGCAGCTGAAGCGAAGTCGAAGCCAGCACGTCGACAGCTATTCCCATCCTGTGTGCCTGAGTTCTGATTCTACCCTTTCTAATTTTGGTCTTGTTGTCACCACCGTCATCACTATGAAACTACTACAATAGCGATGACCCTGACGATAGCGACTGCCACTACCACCTGCCAGCTTCGTCTCTGTCGCCCTCGCTGCTACGTGCTGCTGCGGCAGCTGCTGCTCATCCTCCTCTTCCTACAGCTAGCACTACGACTACGACGACGACGACTACTGCTGCTGCTGCTACTACTACTGCTGCTGCTACTACTACTACTACTGCTACTGCTACTGCTACTGCTGCTGCTACTACTACTACTACTACTATTACGACGACGACTAGTACTACTACTACTACTACTACTACTACAACAGCTAGAACAACGTGCAAATCCTACTTACTTCCAAAGCTTGTACCCTAAGCCCTACGTGCATAGCTGCGATGCCAAGGATGCTCGACCACAGGCTGTTTACTGGAGATATATCGCTGCTCGTGCATGGTCCTTGCAGTTGGAAGTGTCTCGCCCGGTTTCAGTTTTCAGATGAAGGGTATAGTTGAAGGTTTAGGGTTGGGGGTCTGATAGTTAAGGGATTCAATATAAGAGTTCCGACCAGGCTGTGGCAGGTATCCCCGAAGTGTCTTGTGAATGCATAGGCAAAGTGCAAGACTCAAAGGTGCTCGGGCTGTGGAACGGTACGTGCACACTATTTTCTCGAGCATAACTACTGAATTCCTGCAGTTCCTGCACAGGCATAAACGCCATGCGAAAACCTTAGAATTACAGTCCTGATAAAACAGTAGTCTTGAACTTATGCGTTCGTACTTATTCCCCTTTCCTTCAAGTCTACACACTATACCAACCCCCGAAACCTCCCAACCCCCGTGAGGACGGGTGGTTGGGTCCTTGTCAAAAACTTAAGTTAAGTTATGTGTATACATATATGTATATGTATATACTTAGGGTCTCTAGACCCCGTAAGACCCTGATTGCACCCGTACCAAAAATCATACAAGAACCTGACAAAGCAGCTTGTGAAACCCAATACTATTTACTATAGACACTGTATCTAGTTATACATCCTATCTATACTCTTTGTACGATCTATGAAGATACAAAGAATAAGCAGTAACACAGAATCCACACAGATAGGTAGATAGATAGCTAGATAGATAGATAGATAGACATACTTGTATGTATATGTATATATATATATACATACATACATAGATAGGCTACAGAAGGTGCAGCAGGCCGGCGACCTTGTTCTGGCGAGGTTGGCCTGCCTGACACGCCGGCACCTCAGAGAGCCTTTGGGCCGGGCCGTCGGGTTGGGGATGGTTGGGCTTTCGGTGCTCTGCCGATTTTGGGTGTACAGGGGTTCACAGGGGTTTCTGTGGGTTTCCCGTGTACTTCCGGCAGTCGCCAAGAAGAGGACGAATTGTCAGTGGGAATGTCCGCGGCAGTCGCGTGAGAATCATTACCCAATTTCGCAAGGCCCCGAAAACACCTATGCCCAAGAGCCTAAACCCCAAAAGCCCTTTGCCCGACACAAAGTCCAAAGTCCCAAAAGTTCCAGGCACCGTGGATCCACAGCGACTGAGGGAGCTCAAAGAGGAGTGGGCGCAGCTCACGGATTCAGAGCGGGCCGCTCGCTCCGACGTTCTGTTGGATGGTGTGGGTTTGGGCTTCTAGGGTTTAAGGCTCTGTGGTTTCAGGGTTCTGCTGTTTTGTTTTTTTTTGGGTTATTCTTTACGACGGTTATGGTTCAAGGTGTAAGGGTTTAGGGGTTTTGGGTGTAGGGGTTCAGAGGTTCAGGGTTTTTGGATGGGGAATGCTCAACATTCGAGATCTTAGTTTGGGGGTTCCTGATATCAAGGATCCTTGTCCCTTGGGACGTACGCCAGGATCCCCATTTTTTCTTTTCTGAACTTTCTTCATGACTGTTGTTGTTACTAGGCTTGTTGGCATACGTGTCCCAACTGGTAGCACTGTCAACACCGAGGCCATGAACACTTTTCTATTTTCCGGTCTTTTGTTCCACTTGTTGTTGCTGCATACACCTAGCCTTCTTCTCTTCAGCATTGCTGCCACAGTCGTGCTGTTGCTACGATTGTGCCCGCGCGGCAGGACATAGCCTCAGCTTACCTCTGTTGGCCGTTTTTGCTAAGGATGCGCTTCACGAGATCTTCCTCCTAGACGGTCATTTGCAGAAGGCGCGGAAGAGGTGCAGAGGCGAAAGTCTTGGGCTCTTTTGAAGACAGGCGTTCATCTTCCAGTACTTGCCGCTGTTTCTGACCAATGCGATGGAGAACACTGACTTGGGATTGCGCTGCGGTCTCCAGTTTCTCGTGGAGCTTTATGGTAAACTCCTGGACCATCGGTGCCTTGGTTTTCCGAGCACATCTTTTTCAATAGGCAGGAGGCTCTGTGGCTTCAGCATGCTAGCATGCCCTTGAACGAGGTGCCTCAGCCATGCCGGTCCGACGGTGAGGGTCGACATCCACTCCCTTGCGTCGATCGTCGCGGAGGTCGGGGCAAGGATGCGAAGACGGCGGAGTGTGTCCAAAACCCAAAGATGCATTTGCGACCAGCCCTCGTGTCCCTGTTCATCTTCAGTCACACCGGAGAAGTCAACGAGAACAGCAGATCAGAGCAGTTGTGCCGAGGACGCTGCCCTAGCTTCAGTCTTTCACCGCAAACTCTGAACGCACGAAGATCGTAAGTGGTGGAAGGAAAGAAAAGTCAATGAAAGATATCGAAGAGAAGACATGAAGTTAATCTAATTACAATAAACCGCTCATCTGCTACAAACTAAGATGTAATGGAATAAAGGGCAAAGTGTAGGGTGTTGTTCCAAACCGGCAAGACTGCAGCCCTTTCCATCCTGAACCCCAGAAGATGCAGCCGAACCGACTGGGTGCCGATAGACCTGCTGTCTGCATAAAGAAGACCACTTCATCAAGATACAGCTGGGACTAACAAGAAGTGGCATAGCAAAGCTACATGTGGGGCCTTGTGGTGCTTTCTTACTCCAGGTGGATAGCCTTCGAACTCTCCGAGCCCTGCCTGCACCAGACTTCACCCGCAAGCTCCGCCCAAAACCAGCCCCCTTCCTTGAGGCCGGTGCCTGGAGTTCGTCCGCATTGTGAAGCACGGGAGTGGGGTCACGGCGTTGCTGACCAAGCAGTCCTACCAAGTGCTCTCAGGCTCCCATCACATTCAGATTTAGATCTCCAGAGCGGTTCCCTTTTCCTGACCCCCTTGTGCTCAAAGGGCAGCTGGTGACCTACGATCGCAACGCGGACCTGCTTGAGGTTTTGGCTGCTCAGCAGTGCCTTGGCCAAATTGAAAAGCCCTCATCCCTGAGCCCTCAAACCCTAAACCCGAAAACCCTAAGCCCTAAATCCCCAAACCCTCAAACCCTAAAGTCCTAAAGCCCTAAACCCTAAAGCCCTAAACCCTTAAAGCCAAGAGCAGCCGTCGTTTCTTCCCCTCCCTGGCTCCTCGCCGGGGCCTGGCTCCCATAAGGCTGCGGCTTGAGAAGGCGATTTCTGAGCCAGGCCTGGTATTGGATCCCCTTTTTGGGGGTTCCTGAAAGGGGATCTACAAGGGCGTCTATAGGGGTTTCTATAAGTGTACCATCAGGGGTTCCATGAAGATGCCATTATGTTATGTCATATGAATATCATGCTTTTGCATGCTCTGTGAAAGTACATTATCAGGTTTTGACGTGGCATCGTGTTCTATTCTACTCTGCCCCATTCTTTTCGATTCTGGCATATTATGTGATGTGGATAGTTCTCCAAATAAGGGTTTTTGTAGGTCCCCAACATAGTTCGGCACCCATATATATAAAGGATCCTATACAGGACACTAGTTCAGAGAACTACTCACATCATTTTGATGTAGTATTGTATTTTATTTTTCTACTCTGTTCTTCTATTTTCGATTCCAATGTATAATATTCTATTCTATTCATGGGTAGTTCCCCAAGTTAGGGCTTGTCGTAGGTCCCCAGTATAGTACGGCACCCATATGAAAAGGGTCCTATAAAGGACCCTAGTTTAGAGAACTACCCATCATGCTTTTATATGATATTTTATGGTATATTCTTGCATTATTATGTTGTGCTGTATCATGTTCTGTTATGATATTGTGATATGTTATGTTATGCTATGTTATTCCATGCTTTGATATGGTATTGTATTCTATTATACTCTATTCTTTGTTTCCGGTTCTATTATATCATATTTTTATGTGGTATTATACTGTATTATATTGTTTTGTATTATGTTATTATGTTGTCAGTTTATATTGTGTTATATTTTTTATACAGTATTATATTATATTTTCTTATGTTGTGTAATACTATACTACATTATATTACACTATGCTGTATTTTACGGAGTTTTAAGTATTATATTCTACCGCATCTTATTACACTATACTATACTATAGTATATTAAACCCATTTTCCCGACCAGTCTATCTATCCGTCTGATTGTTCGCGCACTTTAGATCCCGAAATCCCAAACCTATCGCAGCCGAAGGCGGCACAGGCGTTGGTGGCAAAATCAGCATGGAGGCTTCCGCTCTCGCAGCTCTGCATTCGTTGAGTTCGAGCTTTGTGTTTGTTCTGGCTTTTCGCCTCAGGTTAGGATCTAGGGTTGTCAAGAGTTTATAGGGTTCAGCGTCTAAGGTTTTTCAGGTTTCGGGTTCTGGGTTTTTTTAAGTCTGCCAGAGCCAAGGAGCCCGTGGAGGCCTGCTCCTTCTGAAGGTCGGCATGCAAGGGGCGACCGCTTTTAAGGCTCTGCATAAGAACCCTAAACCCAACAACCCCAAACCCCCCTTATACAACCCCCCAAGCTCTATGCAACTAAACCCCCGAGGAACCAGTAAACTCCCTCACACCCAGAGCCGGAGCCACCTTCTGTGGGCTCCTTTTTTGCTTTTTCCAGTCGGAGATGTTTAGATGCCCTTGCGAGGCATGCCTGAATTCACTTAGCAAGAGGCGCTCTGCGAGGTTGATCATGAGCATGTGACCTTGCAGCAGAGCCGATCGTACCAAGTCTTGGTTTAGGGTCTTGGTTTCGCAATCGAGTTTCTTGCATTTGGGTGCTTGAGGTTATCGGTTGTCTCTTTTGGCCCTAGGGTCCCGGGGTTTTAGGCTTCTGTCGTCGAGGGACGCTACGCGCTGTAGGCGTTTAGGGCCCGAGGATTTCCCCCGAAGGCGCCCCGAAGGGGCTCTTCTGAGCGGTTGCGGGCGAAAAGGGCCCGAGGGATGACCGAAGAGTAGAGGATCCTATCGCAGAACCCCAAAGAGGACTGTAGAATCTCTAGTGTGCACTCCAAACAGCAGATCATGTGTATGTATATAAATAAATAAACAAAAATAGATAAAAAAACAAACAAATAAATAAAAATAAAGAAATAAAGAAAGAAAGAAATAAATAAATAAATAAATATATATATATATACACGTCTGTACGTGTCTGTGTACATTAAATAAATAAATAACTAGAGAGAGAGAGAGAGAGATAGATATATATATATATATATTTACATAGATCCTAATGCTCAGAAGTCCCAATCTCCAGTTCGTAGCTGCCTCCCAAGTCACACTTTCTTTGGGCCCACAGGTCCATGCACATCTTGTTCTTATGGCCCTAGCAACCTAACCCAATGACCTTGATTGCAGATGATCTTTGTAGCCAGAGAAGATTCCAGTACATGTAAGCCTGCGACATATCCTGCAAGTGTAGCAGCCATGATCGCAAATGGGCTGCATGCGAGTGTCCTACAGTCCGCGTTGCTTCGATGTCTAATGTGCAACAAAGCTTACAACTTCTCCAAGAGTTGCGTTTTGAGGCCCTTACAGTGTGCTTCTGGGATGGCTTTGACTGCCAGAACCCCAGGAGACCTTTCCTTTGGATGAGCTGCCTAAAGACGCCGCACTAAGGGCTGGGCGAAAAGTTCGGCACCTCCCAGGCCAGGACGGCCTTCCGCTCGTGTCGGCTTCGGGTGAAAGGGAAGAGATCTGTGGGGAGGAGACACGGGCGATGCAAGCTCGCATCGCGCAGCTGGAGCGTGGCACTGAGTCAGCTGGGTACTTCTTGGCTTTCTTGGGGTCGGACGTCTTTGCGAGTGCGGGTTCCGTGTTCAGGTCACAGGTGACGGTGCTCCAGGCGCGCTTGCAGTGGATGTGAGATATCCCGTTCAGTTCATTTGAGAAGGCCGGTACATCGAAGATGCGACATTCGTTCAAGCTACGCGAGCCGCGTGGGACTTCGTGCATGTACGATCAAAACTTGGTCGCGGATTCAACTCAATATCCCGCATCCTTGCCAGCGTGATGCTTCCAGCCTTCTGCCTATCAGCACAAACATGCTTATTAAGTATCGCGTGAATTGTCACTGCTATCCGCTGGTCGTAGTCGTGCTATTTTCTCACATATGCAACGTTCCATGGATTCAATCGCTCCGACATCTATAGTCAGGTCTCAGAATCTGTTTCCGGATATGGCCGCGCCAGATTTAGTCGTTTAGTATCTGCATCAACACCTGGACGAACTGGGTTACGACTTGCTTTTTGCCCTCCTTTTTTCTGCACTTTAGCCCTCACATCCGCATCCGGCCCTTCTTTCCTGAGCACGCAGCGGTCACATCTCGGAGTTTGTGCACTTCCATGCCATGGAAATCCTAGTCTCCCCCCACGTCCGCCCGTTTGTCCACCGGCCCGTTGTGCTTCCGGTCTGATGTCCTGAATCCTGTCCCGCGTGTCGCACAGCCAAACCTCGTCTGCACCGGAACCTGAAATTCAACAGCAAGGGTCTTTCAAACCACGGCACGGACCACCTTTCGAATTCGCACGGCAGGTGGCTCTAAGCCCTTGTTACCGTCATTACTGATACCGTCAATGCCTGGCCATTGGCGCAAACCACGAGTTCCTCCAAGCACTTGTTGAAGGAGAGTCGTGACAAGCTGCTGTTGACAGGCCAAAGTTCCAGTTGGAACGATCGTTGCGCAACCACGCGATTGTTGCTAAGTGCAAGCACGTCGCCACAGAGTAGACTCAGGAAAACTCGGCTCAGCAATCCCAGGAGCTCGTCACCGAAGTGGCGGAGTCCCTCCACAGAGTCAAGAACTCAGCGGTCTGGAGGCATTGATGTCTTGCAGGTCATGGCTGTGAATGTCGAGAGGACTCGGCTTCAAACTCAAAGCCGCCCCCAGGCTGTGGACCGCCAGGAGTTGCAGGCGGCAGAGCCAGCATCTCAGTCGACTCGAAGGGCTGTTTTTGCATTGATTTCCTTACGTCAGTGTTGAGGACGCGGGTGATGAACAGCATCCAGGCTGGCTGCTCACCGCTAGTGCAGCACAGGACAGATGTTTCCCAATATTCAGCTTTCGGGCGAAAGGGGCAGATCAAAAGTGGGTTTGGGGGGAGAAAGCAAAACTGACGATGTAGTCAATGTAGTCGTTCCAGGTATCGGCGTGGATTGCTGGATTTGTCTTGCATCACATTAGTGGGCGAATGTCGGGAAAGGGTGCGTGGTTGTGTGTGTGTATGTGCATCTGAAAGCCGTCTCTGAGTCTTACACTTTCGGGACGACAGGCGTGCTGCCAAGCCATGAGTGCGCCGCCCACTGCAGCTGCAGTGTCCCTAAACTTGTTCTGAGGAGTCAATTAGGAACAGCTAAGGATCAGGTGCAACACCTTTCAGTGTTGCAGGTGTGTGCAGCTTTTTCTCAGAACATGGCAGCAATCTTTTTCATGACTTGAAGATTCTCTACACCGCGAAAGTCCAGAGCCCGAAACCCTAAAGCCTATACCCAAAACCTTCTACCCTAAACCCCCCAAACCACAAATCTTAAACCCTAAACCCTATTCATTGACAGCCAACAGCTTCCCGAGATTGGCTTACAGGCTTGAGTCTTCAAGCGCCAAGGTCTACGTGCCCTATGCGCAGCCAGCCAGGGCTCCTGACGCATGGGGCCGCTTCGGGTAGGGTGTAGACATCATTGCTCTGAGGTCGAAATATTCTGCGACAGAAGCTGGCAAGTGTTTGGTTCTAGGATTAGGGCGCAGTTGGCGAGACAGGGCTTCGATTCGACAGAGATGCCCGTGCTGGCAATGACCATTCAGGCGCTTGTCCTAACACGGGATTCGGCGTGCTCGTCTTGCCCCCATCGGTTGCTGTTGATCGCTTGGTTCAAAACTTGTACCGGGCAAATATTCGCAAACAGGAAAACAGTCACCTGCAGCTTCTGATCCCATTCATGGCTCCTTGAAAAGACTCTGCCATTTAAGCCCTTGTGTGTCTTGTCATGCTGCACCGAGCATTGTGTTCCGGACCTGCTCTTGAAATTTGTTTTAGTGGATAGACCAACGTAGAGTGAGCTAAAAGTTAGGCTCGTGGTTCTGCAGCAGCTTGTGCCAGGCTCAAAGACAGCATGGATCTTCCAGTTCCATCAGCGTTGTGCGGCTCACGTGCAGCAGCGGCGACGGTCAACTGGCCTTCCTCGGCTGGCATCAGCAAGCTGACATGGTCCAACGCTGATGTCCATGGCGATTGGAAAGCCACCACTTACACTTTGATTGCCTCTTTGGTCCTTGGTTCCAAGCTGCTCAGGCGAGGACAGAGTCGCGGACCTGCAAGATCAGTGAAAGCTGCCGGTTGCGGCAGATCCGGAACTCGGAGGGAGCACATTTTTCTAGATGTCGTGGCTGCAGCAGTTGCTGCTGGCCCATCTGCTGCCGCGGCCAAAGGTGGCAATCCTTTTCTGCTCGTCCAAGATGGGGAGGAGGCATTCAGAAAAAACCGCGTGGAGGAATCGATCGACTTGTTTGACAGCGCCGCCGAGTCAGGATATCCGAAGGCCCCGTTTTGCAACAGCTTTCGTAGTAAAGTCAAGCAAGGCCTGCAGCATGACAAACATACCTCAGATGCTTCGTGTTTGTGCGGCTGTTTCAAGACATTGATATGTCGCAGTTTGGATGTCGAGAGGTAGAGGCTAGGGTGCCACTACGCGCGTTCAGGCGAGACTTTGGCAACGTGGTCTATCCCTGTACTACGCGAAGGATTTCACAGCCGGGTCGCAGCAGTTCAGGAAGGACGTGGAGATGAATCCCAATGACACCGAAGAGTCGATTTGGGCGTTCCTTTGTGATGCCCAAATGGTTGGGTTCGATGAGGCACGAAAGCAGATCTTGAAAGTTGGTGTGGGCCCTCGACCGGTCATGCGCACAGCCATGGCATTGTTTAGGGGCGATGATGATACCAAGTACCTGGCCGCACTTGAAGACTTGTCTGCCGGCAGCGGCTCTGATGTCTTTTACTCCTGTCTCTACCTTGGCTTGTACTATGAGGCCTGCATGTCAGTGTGCCGATACAGTTGTGACATGGTTCAACATGAGCTGACGCAGTGTTGCTGTCGCAGGCGAAAGGCGACGTGGAGAACGCTCGACGATACCTCTTGAAAGCCACCAGTTGCAGGTATGGCAAAGGTAGCACTGATTACATGGCCGATCTTGCCCGGGTGCACGTCGCTCGGCGCGGCTGGGGCGAAGTAGAGTTTTGAGGGAGAGGCTCTATGGATAAAAGTCGCAAGGTGTCGAGTGTGTTTGTCCTCGGATGTCGATTGCCAAAAGTACAGTCATGCTGTGCTGCTGGATCTCATCTGACCGTTGTTGTGGTGCTTCGCAATGCTTGCTCAAGTGAAGCATGGTCTCGTGCTCCCCGGTGGGATGACGAGCGAGCCTCAATGAGTTCATGAAGCCAACCCGGAAAGGCGCGGGGGCATCGTGTCCATCGTGTTTGAGCTTGTCATGTCGACTGTGAGCCAGGTCCGGCTAAAGGCGCGGAGGATGGGGCACCGCCAGCTGATGCCCCAAGCCCTCCGATGCAACTGCTCGCCTTCGTCAGGCTTGGGTTTTGACTTCGAGGTGGATTTGACATGGAAAATCCATGCTTTCTGAAGCGCGAGAGGCTGCATGCTGTCCACCAAGAGCCGAGGGCCGAGGTGTCCTGTGTCGTGTCGCTCTTGGCTTCCGCCACGTCGGTGAGAAGCCAACCTTTTGTCTAAGTTCCCTCAACCCTCAGCGTCCTACAAGGGTTCCCGCCGCCGTTTTAGACCTATCCTCCTTAGCACGGTCCAAGGTCCCCGAGCGGCGTTCCACAGCCAGCGCCTGAAGCGGGTCTGGATGCTGCGCTTCACGAGGGCAAGGGCGATGCCAACAAGAAGGCCTTGCGCAAGAGACCTGTGCTGGCTTTCCGTGCTTTTCACCCTAAGCCCCAAACCCTAAACCCCAAATCCCAAGAACCCCGTGTCAGTACAAGCTGGGCGTGTGCGGTCACTATCTGATCATCTTCTCTGACGAAGCCGGGAGCAAGCGGCAGCTGGACAAGGCCGGGCCTGGCATCTCGGAAGAGATTTTGCCGGTTATTATGTTTAGTGCTCTTGTGATCCGTACTATGATGAAGAATAATAACAATAACAATAATATAATAATAATCATCATCATCATAATTTTAAACGCTGCGCGTCGTCCGCCTCGGCCCGGCCGTATGTTGGGAGGAAGACATGATGCCAGGTCTGGGGCTTTTTCTTTTGCAGGAGAGCGGGGGTGCAGCGTCTGCGCAGTGAAGAGTG